GCCCCACTGCAAGGGCTCAGGTCTTCCTTATGGCTTAGTTGAGTAAGTTGGACCATGAGCCTCCACGCTGGCCCAATGCGGATAAGAGGGCAATAATGACTGCAAATGCAGCCGAGACCAACGGCATAACGTGCCTTCCAAATCACGGAATAGCTCAAGATAATACATTTTTGGTCACCCATCTCTTAACCGACTCTTTTTAAACTTGCTTAACAACAACGATCGAGGCGCTTATTCACCACACGACAGAATTATTCATCCGAATAGCAAAGCTTAAAATTTTTACTAAATTTTGAATCAAAACAGTGCGATGACTTACCGCCATCTAGTATATCACAAAATGTCTAGATTGCGTTTTCTTTCGTACATAAAATTATTTGTACTTGAATATTTTCAAAATGATTTATTTCTAATATAATTATTGTTATCAATTATGTACTCAAATACCAGTTTTCATTGCTATACAATAAAATATTTTGTAAATAATATTAGGTAATTTTATAAACAATGGTTGCTATGGTAACATTTTAATTCCCCATAAAATCTTTAATTCCCATTTTTATTCCTTTAAGTGCTAATTTTCTGGATAAAATATAACGTATTACCTTCCTAGGGTCATACGCTACCCAAATACCATTTTTCATCGACACAGGTCCATAAACAAAGAAGTTTCATAAAACTTTTTCACCCTTTTTGACCCCCTTCGAGATGGAATTTCCAAAAATCAGGTCTTAGTACACCTCTAGATATTAAGAGGAATGTTCCCTCCAAATTTAAAGTTTCTACGATCAGCGGTTTAGGCTGTGCGTTGTCTGTCACTCAGTAAGTCAGGACATCTCCTTTTATATATGTGTAGATGACAATAATTAATATGAGTTTGCGGTTTATTACCGAGATGCAACACTAATTTGACTGAGTAGGTACATGCAAACTTAAAATAGTTGACGTGACGATAATTCTATTAAAACAAGATATTAATTGACACAAGGGCGTCTACTTAATACATAGTTGTTAGTATATTTCCATTAACTAGATGCCAATGCACTACAAAGAATTAATATACCTATATAGTTTCAGTAAACAGCATGTCATATTATTGTATTATATTAGGCCCAAGTTATAAGAAAAAAAATATAAATTAACATCTATTTACATTCAATTAATGAATTAATGTGTAAAAAAAACCGCTAGCCCCAGAGGTGGGACTCTTTTAAGCATTTTTCATTGCAGATTTTTATCAATATGCACTGTCAATGCAAAATTGATCAAATTGAATAATATCTATTTATCACAATCGTATTACATTTCCTAATAATTTGTATACTCTCTTAAATTATTACTCTTTGATAATATTACGGGGTATAGGTAAATATTTCTAGAATTTATATTTACTTCTCAATTTAAGTCCCAAATCTTTCAAATGTCTGACCGTGTAAACAAATATCACACGCAAGCAGGAAGGCACAAACAATAGCCATATCTTCGAGTTGATTAATGCAAGTGTTAACAAACAATGGTGTGATTATGCTGGAGGCATAAGTACTATGTCAATTAGGAATTGAATACAAATGACTGGTGTTAAACAGCATGCAATGAAAGTTGCGTAAGATTCAATATACATAGGTACAATTAGCTATCATATAAAATTCTAATTAAGTATATTATTCAACTTTTTTCTCTATCTTTTTTTTTACTTGTTTTCTTATAGAATATATAAATATATATCTTTATTTATTATTTCAATAATATATATACTTTATTACCTTTTTAAATAAGTGATATTTAATTGAATCTTAATGCTGTTATAGTGCTACACTGACTTTTTTTTGGACATTTACTATTACCCACTATATATAAATAAGGACTACAAATCTCCACACTGAATAACATTTTGATTTTACATATCATAGCACTGCTAACTCGATAAACTTTTATACTAATATTATAAAAAGAAAATTTTCTAACTTTGTCTGTTTGTTAGTATTTCTCGGAAATACTGATCCGATCATGAAATTTCTTTCACTTACGGGAAGCTACATCATATGCGAGTGACATGTTATAATTTACGTGGGCAAAGTCGCGAGTAACATTTAATATTTTAAAGTCTGTCAAAGTCCAGTAAAATTATTTTCTAAACGCACCTTGCCGTCAGGCATGTATGTTGAATACGATATTAAAATCGTTGGTTTTACTATTTTCCGCACGATTTGAAAAGGTTATCTCTGTAGAAGTCGTCGTGAATGATAACAAAATAATAGTTCTTATATTTCTTTACTTGATACATAAAAGTATTAACAATTCTTATTATACCGATACATGACGCAACCTATACACATAAATCATAATTCGCAAGATGGCATTAGGCCATAGACCACAATCACAGTCTTTACTCTATGTACTTATGACTATACCACACGTTACATCCTTCCCCTTAAGGTTTATACTAAAGGAATCTAGTAGGGCAACGAAGTTGTGTTCTATCTCTGAGATTATAATCCTGGTGCTGAGACGATTCAAAGCGTGCATGTTCGCTTGTCATAGGTAAAGATATTAAAATATCATCATACATATTACTGCAATCTAATGGTCAGTTACAGATATCCCTATCATTGTAATGGGCTGTGACCTTACATTTATTTATTCTTAGAAATCGTCTGTTCCGCCGTAAAGTTGCACCATTATCTGTTTTAATAACATAACTTCGTGGCTCTTTACATAAAGATACAACAGTAGCAGGGAGCCATACTTTTTTATCTAAATCATAATAAAACACTCTATCACTTACTTTTAAATTTGGCAAATCTCTACTATGTCTATCATAATACAATTTTTGTTTACCTACTTTAATGTTTCTATTCATTATAGCCTCTTTGTAATTAATTGGTTTTAAATTTTTGATTAAGCATGGCAACTTAGTTTTAATATTTTTTCCAAGTAACAACTGTGCTGGGGAGTATTTAATGTCAGCTAGTTCTGTATTTCTGTAATTAAGTAAAGCAATATTGATATCTGTATGAGTTTCATTACATTTCTTTAACAGTCCTTTACATATATTTACCCCCTTTTCAGCCAGACCATTCGATTGGGAATATTTAGGACTTGAAAATATACACTGAAAGTCCCATTCCTTCGCAAATTTTAAAAATTCTTGACTATTAAATGGGTTATTATCTGCCTGAACTTTATCAGGAATACCAAATCTACAAAATATGGACTTTAAAATATGAATAACATGAGTTGCATTTTTAGAATTTAGTACAGCCATTTCAATCCGGTTACTAAAAGAATCAACAACACATAAGTAATCTCTACAATTGTATGTGAAAATATCACAGGCAATTCTCTCCCAAGCTCTGGTGGGTAAGTCATGAGGTAACAATGTTTCTTTACAATTAATATTTGCATATTTTTGGCATGCAATGCATTGTGATATAAAATTTTCAATGTCTTTTGAAATACCTTTCCAATATAAACATTATCTAGCTCTTCTTTTACATTTATTGATACCTAAGTGACCTTCATGAATTAATTGTAACATTTCAAATTGTAAAGCTTTCGGGACAATTATTTTAGAATTATAAAAAAAGCAATCCATCACAACAATTTAAATTCTTTTGGTTTTTATAATAATGTTTTATACTCTCTGACTGAAGCTGTTGGTGGTGAGGCCATCCATTGATAACGTAATCTTTTACCTTTGACAAAATACAATCCTTGGCAACAAGTTCTCTAAATTGTTGTTTCCGGGAATCGGACATTGGAAATTTTTTGGATAGTCCATGAACCACTTGTTTGGTTGTGTTGCCCTCACCTGGAACCAGTACATTATTTGAATTAGTTAAAAATGCTCGTGATAAGAAATCTGCTATATAGAGTTTGCTGCCAGGGGTGTATTTTACACTTAAATCATAATTTAATAATTTTAACATTAGTCTTTGTAACCTAGGAGGGGATTTACATATATCTTTCTTAAAAATACTCTCTAAAGGTTTGTGGTCACTTTGTACACAAACAGAACGCCCATAAATGTAATAATGGAATTTATCAATAGCAAAGCAAATAGCTAGGAGCTCTTTTTCAATTTGAGCATATAATTGCTCCGTTTTTGTCATACTCCTAGAGGCAAATGCTATAGAATGGTCATGTTGCAAAAGTACTGCACCTAGTCCGTCTTTACTAGCATCACACTGTATTACAATTTCTTTATTAGTGTCAAAATATTGTAATATAGGAGCATTCACTATGGCATTTTTTAAGCTTTTTAATGAATTTTCATGAATTGATGACCAAGTCCAGTCTACATTATTACAGGTTAGTTGTCTTAAAGGAGCTGTAATTTTAGACATATTAGGAATAAATTTAGACAAAAATTTAGCCATACCTAAAACTCGAATCAGCTCAGTTTTATTCTGAGGGTTTGGAAAATTCAAAATAGCCTCAACAAAATTATCATCAGGGCAAATTCCATTTTCAGAAAATATTTGACCCATATATTTAACAGATTTTTGTCGAAACTGCATTTTATTTATGTTAAATTTAATGTTATTTTCCTGAGCTCTTTGTAACACATTAAGTAAATTTTTATCATGTTCAAACTTAGATTTACCACAAATAATTAAATCATCAAAATAGATACCAATACCTGGAAGGTTTCCGAAGACTTCATAATTCATTCTCATGTAAACTTCAGGTGCAGAACTTAAACCAAAAGCGAGACGTAGAAACTTGTACCTCCCAAATGGCGTATTGAAGGTTGTTAAGTCTGAGCAGCTCTCATGTAGTTTTACCTGTAGGTAGCCATCCTTCATATCTAAAACAGAAAAATATTTCATGCCAGATAGCTTGGCTGCAATATTGTCTGCTGTTGGTATTGGGAAGTGTTCCCTCTTGATGGCAATATTCAATCTTGTAGGGTCAATACATATTCTCAAACTTCCATCTTTTTTTGTAGCTATTACCATGGAATTTACCCAATCTGTTGGTCTAGAAACTTTTTCTATAATTCCTTGTTTTTCCATGGCATCTCATTTATCTTTAAGTTTATCATGAATTGCAATTGGCACAGTTCTGGGGGGTTGTATTGTAGGGATAACATTGTCACATACCTTAATAGTGTAGGTTTTTGGATATTCACCGAGTCCTTCAAACAAATTTTTGTATTTTTTGCAAACATCATCCTTGCTTTTGAATATTTCAGTGGTTACTGTATCAATATTCTGTATAATACCCATCTTTACAATGGCATCAAATCCTAAAAGTGGTGTAGCTCTAAAATCAACTACAAAAAACTCAATCAGATGAGTTTTATAATCCAATGTACATGGAAGTTTGACCATGCCCAATGGTTTAATTTCTTGTCCACCATAGGCAACTAAGATAGTATTTGTACTCTGAAGTGGTGAATTTATTTTCTTAAAAATACTTAACGGCAATATACATGATTCTGCACCAGTATCAATTTTAAAATCAATTGTAAGTTTCTCTGTGCCTACTTCAATAGTTTTAATCCAGTGTTTCTTATTATGACTTATGGTATAGATATACAAACGTTCACTGGCATTATCTTGTTCCCTATCATCTTGTGTTACTTCATTAATATGTCTATTGATGACATGTGTTCGAGTCTTGCACATCTTAGCAAAATGATTATTTTTGTTACATTTGCTACACTTCTTGCCATAAGCAGGGCATTTATTGGAAATATGTTTTGAACCACATCGAAAGCAGTCAATCATAACAGGTTTCTTCTGAACCATGCCCATAGTTTGATGATCTATAGTCATCTGTTGCAGCTGGATAGCAGTGGATTCTGCCATTTTATATAACTGAACAGCCATTTCCAATGTTAAATTGGAATCACGGAGTAGTCGTTCTTGCAGTTTTCGACAATTTATACCCATTACAATCCGATCTCTTATCATCTCATCAGTGTTATGGTAATCACAAGTTTTTGCTTTAATTTTTAACTCTTTAAGGAATGCTTCGAAGCTTTGTCCATTTTTTTGAATTATCTGGTTAAATTGAAATCTTTCAAATATAACGTTGGATTTCGGCGAAAAATATTGTTCGAATTTTTCTACGATGTCTTTTAACTTGTTGTCCTTTGACAATGTGAAGCTGTTATATATATCCAAGCACTCGCGACCCATCAAGTTTAATAACAATGCAATCGTTGTTTATCATTGTCTTCTTTTTTAATACTGGCTGCTTGTAAATATATTTCGAACTCTTGACGAAATCTTTTCCATTCTATTGCTAGATTAGGATATTGCAGATTAACTTGTTCTGGTAATCTTACCAACGTGGTTTGCGCCATTTCGGAACTTGCTTTAACTTTGTTTCGACACCTGACACCATGTAGAAGTCGTCGTGAATGATAACAAAATAATAGTTCTTATATTTCTTTACTTGATACATAAAAGTATTAACAATTCTTATTATACCGATACATGACGCAACCTATACACATAAATCATAATTCGCAAGATGGCATTAGGCCATAGACCACAATCACAGTCTTTACTCTATGTACTTATGACTATACCACACGTTACAATCTCACCTTTTAGACCTTCCTTGAACTATTACAAATATTTCAAAATTTCAAATCAAAGTAAGACTCAAATAATATTAGTAACATTATAATAATATAATATAATATTAGTAATATTATATATATATAAACTATGGAGACTACCAAAATCCATTTCATTTTAATTACTTTCTTTTAATTCATTCATTATATTATTTAAACTTATCCTGTTTATAGTATTCATCTAATTACACATAGAAAAATAATTTAAATGATTCCGTCTCGAGTATTTGTGCTGCGACGTTACGTTTTGAAAAAGGCATCATCATCAGCCTGTTAACATCCCCACAGCACAGGCATATGCCATTCCTATGTGTGGAGCCGAACCAAATCGATTTAGGCAAGGTTATCGACTGCAGATGCCGGGACCGATGCCTCAACGAGCCTTCCAAAGAACGAAGGAGCTCAATATAATAAATGGTCGATCGTTCATCCTGTGTAATCCGGCCCTTACCGAAGTTGCTTAACGTTTGCATCGCAGACCGAACGAGCTGTGTCCTGTGTGCTCCATTGAGGTCCACAATGAGTCATCACCATCAACAGCCCTTTTACGTCCCCACTGCAGGGAAACAGGCCTTCCTTATGGATGGTTAAGGATAATGGGCCATAAACCCACCACTCTGGCCACCGCCTTTGAGGGTATTAACGACTGCAAATGCAGCCGGGACCAACAGCTTAACATGCCTTCCTAAGTACGGAGTAGCTGAGATAATAATTTTTTGGTAACCAATATCACAGTGTAGAAAATCGATTTACTGAACAAAATGCGCAAGTACCTCTGTAAATGTTTGTTACTTTTTGGAAATTTGGTACACAGATAGTGATGGACATAGATATAGGATAATTTTCTAGCGTGATAATAACCGAATTTGACTCGGGTGAAGCTGCGGGCGGAAAGCTAGTATACGAGTGTTGTTGTTTTTTATTATAAGTCGTAGTAATAGAAAATCATAATAGAATTAAACAATGAATCATATTTTCATCAGAGCTAATGAGGAAGTGGCTTTGTTAACAGGAAATATTGCAACAATTACTACATCAGATATAGGTCATCCGTAGAACTATTTTGAAATTAAAATCAGAATGCGTTTCCCTTTTAACATAATTATGAAATGAGCTGATTGTTAGAGCAATTGAACATGGGACTGTGCGTACGGAAAAAATATAAATTTTTGTTGCTTCACGTTTTAACTACAAAATAATGTAGTTTTATCTTTGATATTAAAATATGGTAAACTATATGTTTTCTTCTAACGCTTGCCTTAGACAAAGTTAAGTATCGTTAACTTAACAATATTGTTCAGTTAATGACTTAAATAAAAATAGCAAGCGCAATCTCTATCACATATCCAATAGTTATATCGTAAAGAATAATCGCCAAAAACGGGATTGCTACTAAGTACCTTGTTTTATCGAGTTTCCAATATTTTGGCACTGTTGTAACAGTACTCGTCGTCAGGGGTAGTAGTCATTCATCCATACCTATATTTAGTTAAAATCTAAAAAAATTAATTTAATTTTCAAAAGTTCCCACGCAAACACTACTTCTGTCAGGGCGACGCTATTACGTCACGGTCCACTGAAACTAATATCGTTCTAGGTATGCATAAGGTTGAATTCTCCAAGTTATGATATGAGTAAGAAGGGAGTGACGTCACTCGCTGTTAGTTGTCACGTGGCAATGAACATAAAATATTTAATTTTTCATAATTATTTTAAGCAATATTATGAATAAAATAAGCATAAAAGTGTGATAATAGAAAGACTACTATACGAAAATTATATATATTTTTTTTTCGTTCACTGTCTACACACGTATTAGAGCAAAGAATATCATGTCGTTCCCCAAATATGAGCGCCATAGGCATTACCTAGTTTGCATATATACGTAAGGATGGGCTGGCCCTGCCAATAACATTTAGCAGTTTGGGTGACTGCTCCACCAATTGAGCAACCCGAGAATTAGCGGGACTGAGAAATAGTATGGATAATTTCGCTACTAGTGAGCGTGTTGTCATTAAGGTTCCGACAATTCACCTAAACAGCCGAAATATTTTTTTTTTATAATTTAGAACTTACAATTAAGGGCCTATTACATATCGACTGTGAATTTTGAATAGAATGATCAATTTTGGATATTTTGATCTCGGAATTAATAATAATAATATTATAATAATATATTGATATAATGAATAGGGCATAATTTTAAGCTGTTTCGCTGTTTATGCATTTAACTTTTTAAGTAAACCCAAAATTGTAGACAGAAATATTTATAAAATGCGCGATGGTCCTTTTTTTTATTCCTGAATTAAGCTACTGGTCTAAATAAATCAAATAAAAGAAATCTTTTATAAAATCTTACTGTACATAGCGATCTCGAACTTTTGAAATAGCATTGATTAAATGTAGAAGAAAAATCTTATTATAAACCAAAAAACTTCGAAAATAGCTTATTGAATTATTGAACAAAATTTGTATCAGAATAATTATTAGTTATTTATAAAGATATTATAATTTTAAAGCACAAATTTAATAATATACTTCAATTGAAAACGATAATAACTGCAAAAATACGATGCACTGGCCGTCCGAAGTCAGTTTGTACGTTAGTGTAGCGAATGTATTAGATGCCTCTTATGATGAAATTTTTTTCTTATTATTATCTAATTTGTTCAATTTTGTTTTCACAATGCTATATTGATCTCTATCTTAAAGAAAATTGCTCATAAATTCACCAGTTCTATAATAGGTAACATATTTCGAAATCAAGGCACTGCTCTTTCCCTAAGATAAATCTAATGATAGTTTCATGAATGCAAAAATTATAAAATAAAATCTATTTAATAAGTATATTAAGACTGCTTTTTTGCAACAACAAGGTACTCTTGTCAGATATAACATTTTTTTTCTTCAAATCTTCATTAGAATATTAGAATTCATATCTGACAAAAGTGTGCTAGTACATGACAGGATGCCGACATTCTTTTTTTTTATTTATTTGATTTATTTGAATATAAGTATAATTATATAAATACACAAAAGATACCTCAATCAATGACACGTGTCAAGTTGTACTTCCTATGACATGATACAATATCGACGGCAGCAAAAAACAAAAGGACAACTACATTTTTGGTCAACTTAACTTTTTGCGTAAAACGCATTTGAAGACTTTATTATTATCTTTAACGTATTTTTGTAAATGCTTAAAATATTATTACTTTACGAGATTTACTCGCGTACATACAGATAACTAAATACCAATTTCATAAAATAACGATGTATATACGGACATTTATTGTAGTCCGCATGTACTTCGGTCAAATAAAAGTTGACAAGCTTGACAAGGGAACTTTTGCTAGGTGAAGACCTAGCAAAAAGGTCCTTGACTGTTTCAGACGAAAGCTCATAATATAGATACGAAGGTATCAGCAGCAAGTTTCGATTTTCAAACAATCCTATACTCACTACATCTCATGTTGAAATAAACTCTTCCTACTTTAAGCGCCAGTTACCAGTCTTTAATTTTAAAAATTTTGTTATGAGCACCGAATGTGGATTTTTTGTATGTGGGATGAAAATTTTGTCAAGCGAGGGTCTAACGTGTAACCAGCTGCTTGTACTAATAATATATCAGAAGTTACTGAAAAAGGAATGAAGATAGATGTTTATGGTCTGATGATTGTAGCAGATAAAAACTTAATAAAATTTTTAGCTGCTCAAAATCTTTATGTTTGTATTAGCCATCGATTTTCAGTAAAAGATCACACGCAACAAGAACACGAGAATTATGCATTCATACGAGTAGTAAGATCTTAAATCAATATGACATATAGCTTATGAATGGCACATTTATGTAAGACGGTGTAAAGTGACTGGAGGACGAAAAAATATAAATTTAAATAAATCTAGAACCTATAAGACATACACAGCGTCGAACTTCATCAAGTTCTAGTGTAAGTTTTTCTTAGAAGAATATAACAATGTTTAAAATTAATTATCATATGATACTACTTGAATTAGAGCAATGTTATTTTTGTTATCGATGCATTAAGAGTGAATTAAAAACTTACCAAAAAATTTTATCGATAATCTTCTTAGTTTATTTCGTAATTTACTATGCATGACAATAAAGAATAATATTTATTAAATTCGTTCCTGAGAAGTAACAAAGATTTGCTATTTTAAATATTACATTACTCATATATATTTTTATTTTTAACTCTTTTTCATTCATAACACATATCTTTATATTGACGACCTCCGTTGCCGAGTAGTTCGCACGCTGATTTCAAGGTGTCGTAATCTCTGAGGTCCCGGGTCCGATTCCCGGTCAGGTCAATGTAGAAAATGCACTTTTCTCTATTGTCTCGGGTCTGGGTGTTGTTGTACCTTCGTTGTCTCAGATACTCCATAATACGGGGGTTTTAGATACTCATCTTGGAATCTGAGCAATGTATGTGATGTTGTTTAATATTTATTATTTATTTAAATAATTTTACATTATACATAAAATGAAGTACGTTGAGATAATTATAAAATTTTAGGAAAATCAGTCTTATATCTTATATTTATAAATGCCGGTAAATTTTTAAAGTAAAAAATGTCGACAATAACTAGTTTTATAAGTTATAAATTTACTAGTTTAAAAGTTAAAAAGCCGCCAAATAGGTATAAGTGGTAGTTGTCACATGTAGAGTAGTTTTTTAAGTCGAAGTAAATAAAGTCATCTGACAGTTTCTCTAAAAGTACACAAAATGAAGAATATCTGAAATAACCACTTGGTAGGTAATTTTTTTGTTTAGTAACTATGCCAAATTCTAAATAATACTTCTTTATTATTCTAAACAAAAAACACAAGCAAGAATTTTACAACATGTCAATATTATTTACGTTCTCTCTAACACGGTTTGAGTCACTACTGAATACACTTATAAAACCACCAGACTATTTTTTACAACATATAAAAGTTGCAATTAATTTAAATATCCTGTCAAACGAAATATAGTTTACTTAATTTTTTTTTTTTATTTCACAATTCATCTCCGAGATACCGGGTTCGATTCCCGGTCAGGTGAAAGTATGAACTTTTCTATATTGTCTCGGGTCTTGGTGTTGTGGTACCTTCGGTGTCTTAGCTAGTCCACGAGTAGCTAACTACTCGTCTCGGAATCCGTATATAGCCATATATCCAAAACAATTAATATCCTTATTAAAAAGACATAAACGCATTATCGAAATGTAAACACAAGCCAGTTGCTAACAATCTGCAAATTTCATTCGTACTAATCTAAAACAGCCCTGTCAATTGTCTAATGAGTCGTGTTTGTATCTGTGACGTCATTATGCTTAGTTAACGAGTGTCGCCGAAGTATAAATGTCCCATAGTAATGCAGGAGACTTCAGATCCCAGCGAAGGATCCTGCAGCTAAAACGTAGGTGAGTAAGCTTCTTATTTGTAAATAATAGTTTTTTTAAAGATCGATATTCGAATTTGGAACATTTCGTTTATCTATTGCATCCTTGTTATTATTGTGCACGATATAAGATTTAATCACTTGTTTATTGATTTTTTTCCAAAATCGATATTTAAAATAAGAATATTTTGTATATATTATTATTATTTTTTTTCTCATTTAGGCTTCTTTTGCGATATACTCGTCGTTTATTGTTTCGATTTTGCACTATTGAACCTTATTGTCAAATCCTAAGAGAAAATATATAAATAACTATTCTTAAAATATTTATTTAATGAATGATAAACAGGTGAACGTATTTCATCATCGTGAAAATTTCAGTGGAAATATTTGAGTTTATTTTATATCTGTACCCCTTTAAGTTCAGAAAATGATTAATATTTCCCAGATATATAAGACTAATCTTTTCTTATGTAGGTATATATGTAGTAATTAATTTAATACATTTGTATTCTGTACTAATATTGTAAAAAGGAAAGATTTGATTGTTTGTTTGTATTTACCAATAATTTATACCTTAATTATTGCTGCTTTCGGAAAGCTAGTAAACTATAATTTACGCGGGTGAAGTTGTCGGAAAACTGCTGATAGACTAAAAATATAGGTAGTTAAATTAATAAAAAATTGAATTACCCATTTTTGCATTAATTAGGATTTGGAAAATATCATAATATAACGAAGCGATATATAGAAGTATGTTAATTGAAATACTTAATATTAATACGTGAAGCAAAGAGTTTGTATACCTATTTATTAAATTGCAAGGACTGGAGAGTACCTATGTTTAGCATCATTAGCATAGTTTATATGCAGAGGAACTGCTGAAATCTATGCAGAAAACATAGTATAAGAAAACATATAATACGTATTTGATACTTTTAATGTGAAACAAATACAAACTATTAATAAATCCTTAATAATATTTAGCTTTATGACCGAATTATAAATACAAACTTGCGAAAAGAGAAAACTAGTACAAGTGCTTTATCTAGGGGTTTAATGTGTGTCAGACTGAGTAAAGACTTTATTATCAATCACAACAATCAACAATATTAATTATATGTTCCATCTGTGTTATGACTACTTTTCATGAAAACGATTTGACATTAGGTTTACACAAAAAGTTTCTGTTACTTTTGTTTGTATTTTTTACCCGTATCTTCGCCCGCGTGTCTTTAGTTTAAAGCTTTTAACCTTGTGATAAAGGTTTATTACACAGATACATCATGGTGATTTAAATTAGAATTAATTGAGCTATATTTGTTCCGGATACAACCATTTTGAATTAGACACTTTTAAAGCAGTCTTCTTTAATGTTATTAGATTTTGGCACAATAATATTTATTATGACATATCCTATAAATTAGTGCCTCTATCTTTGTGTATATATAACTTTAATAGCGTCTCTATCATTATATTTATGTAACTATAATAGAGCCTCTGTTTATGTTTATATCAATGATTCTTTACCTTTTTGGCTGGCGACCCAAATTATAGATATAAATTTGACTTGCGACCCTGACTAACTTATTTATCTATCAGTGTTCATAAAAGAATATCATTTGTTTATTGTCCTTTGAAGGTTATTCAGGTTTTATTTATCAAAGTCTATGCTTCTTATGTAGTGTGTGAAAGGTTTAATTTTAGTTTCATGCTTAATAATTGAAAAAAAAAATGTGAGAAGCTCTTTGATACATTATTTAGCGTATTAGATCCCCAATGTGAAAGTTATGCAACTTGGGCAAGGTCCAATCATAGAATAGGAGGTAAAATATATTTCTCAAATATTCTATAATATCTAAATATTCGAGTATTAATGAAACTGCTTAAAAATTCACTTGGCACCCTAAAATGGAAACCTATGACCTTTCGCAATCCGGGTGACTGCTAAAACCACTGAGCTACCCAGGACCCAACAGGACTAACGAATTTTTCAAGCACTTGTTACTTTTTCGCTACTACAGAGCGTATTCTCATCAATGCTCAGGAAATCCATCCAAACAGCCGAAACAAATATTTTTCACAAATATTTAAACTTTCGATAAAGATAGGGAGATAGTGAAGACGTCTGATACCCAGCAGGAACATTCTTATGCTGGTGATAATTATTAAAAAATATTAGCATTATTATAATAACTTTAACTGTTTCTAATTTGGTACTCCTCCGTTAGAACAATTTTAGTTAAAAGGGTCCACATTTTTCTTTCTCTTATTATGTTATTTGGTAAATCATTCCGTTTAAATCATCAATATCTAAACTCTATCGTGGTATCACACGTTCTATAACGGAAGTGAGCACTTGTTTCCTAATTATACCTTTACTTATGAAGATTATAAATCATTTAATGAACGACAAGCTTCTTTCACTGCTATTATATAAGTAATTTACTTACCCATTAATTAAATGGATATTAAAAATAGCGATACAACACAAGATAATGTAATAAGGTACTTTCACCTAATTGAAATACTGAGAAAAGCCAACTTCAAAATAAGTTGACTTTTTAATAATTCAAAGATAAAAAAACAGTTGGCCTTATTGTACGACTGTAAATTAGCTTGTTTCTTAAATTTGACTCTACTGAGAAAAGGATCTAAATAACATTAATCATATGAGAAGCTATATTATTCTACGCTATTACAAGGAGTTTTCGACAATCGCCAGTTTGTATCTCTTTAGGGCAGGGATCGCCAACCTTTTTCGTAATGTCGAATGTGAATCATTAGTTTTACATTATTACTTATGACAATTTTCGTCTCCATTAACATCTCTCGCATGACTAGGAAGCCCGGCTTTAGGGGCATACTAGTTATATGAGGCAGGAATTCTCGTGCAATGCACTATCTGTTTACATCTCTAGATAACCCCTTTTAACAGAAAACAACCTAAAATATAGATAAGTTAGACAAATTGTTAGTGTTTTTGACATTCGCGTCCTGTGTCCAAATAGTGTCTGGGCGGTGTTCGATTATTTCCAATAGTTTAAGCAATGGAATATAAGAACTCGATGGCACAGTGGTCAATGCGTTCAGTCTGTGATAAGTTAAATAGTTTTCACAAGGGCTGGCCATAGAATGGGTGACCAAAAAATTATATTTTCGAAGTGAAGCCGTAAAACTTATTACCCACGACATCATAAGATCAGCGTGGTGGGTCATGACCCATTCTCGCAATTCGATCATTTGATTCCATATATAGGGAAAGGCGATGCACCGGCTGCGGGGACGAAAAAATGGAGAAGATGACGATGAAGAAATAACTCGAAATGCTGAGTTTTATCCGTTAAGTACACTCTGCCTTCATGACTCAACTATATGCAAGAATTGGTATCATTCTTAAATTGCCACAACACGAATTATTCTGTCGTGTGATGCAATATGCAAAATTTTACTTTTGCATAAACAATATGTAATGAGTACGCGAGGGTCATTAAATTTGCATGTTAAATTTGTTAACTGGTTTAAATATCACGCTAAATTTCAACCCACTCAAAATTAAAATAACTATATTTATATAATATTTAGTTAGCAGTGAGTATAAATATATGAGTGTATAATTAAAGACTAGCAGAAACTTTTATAGTTCAAAGGTTAAGAAAATTAACTTATTTATTTCATTATCGTCTCTGCTAGAGCAAAAGTAATTCTTATCAATCGAATAGGGAGAATGGGTCATGATCCACCTCGTCCAGTGCGGCCATGTGGGGGTTAACGGCTGCAGATGCAGTCAAAGCCAACCCCTTAACGCGCCTTTCGAAGAACGGGGGAAGTCGAAGTACTAATTTATTTTGGTCACGCCTTTACGAAATTTGTTTAACTTTTGTCATACACTAACAGTATATAAATAACATGAATACTTAACATAATAACATGAATAGTTCTTATATACATATGTATGCAATATAGTAGGATTAAATACTTGAATAATAGTTCATCTTCCATATTGGAATTTTAGAGATGTCGTTGTGTGAAATATTATACTGTCGGTTTACCCTCATCTAAAGTCACAATTAAAATGTACAAAATGCTAGGAAAATTAATTTAGTATAGCAATAATTTTATATTTGTACACAAGAAGCTGACATAATCGCTCAGTGACTAAAGCCTTTAAATAATTATTTAAATTCTTAACATAATAATAACCAATGAATAATTAATAACCACCTTTTGATGTCAAATTGCCATCTAAAATTAACTCTCTCAAAATATATTGTAATGAAGTGTTGTCACACTATTCAAATAATGAACAATGAAACAATGGGTAATAATATCAATTAGCGATTAAAGTATTGGAAAATGCCTGTCTATCTGTATGCACGCTCAGAGGCGTCCATTGTTATAACGTTTCATAATATTTATGTAGAAGGATAACTAATAACTACGTTGGTGTTTTCAAATTAATTAATATTGTTACCATAATACGTTTAAAAATAGTCGAAGCAAAAATAGTCTGTATTCACTTTCACATCAGCAGTTTAAAAGAAACACATTTGTAATATTTAAGCTTATTTAATAGAATCCCACGTAATAGTGCAGAAGTCCACTGAAAGAGCTGTAAACTACTACTATTTAGTTTCTTCGCCATCTAGTAATTCTACTCGGTGGTTCTGTAAAATTTAAAAATTCCAACGGATTCTCCGTCAAGGGATTCTCCGAAATACTTGCATACAATTAGGATTATTCGGAAGTCCGAATTGCAACAAAGTTGTTAGGGATATCATTTGAATATAATACTATTTGGGCAATTTTCCTATTTTTCTGGCCCACTTTTCCAACTTAAAAAAACTTAATTTTTAACCAAATTCAAAATCGAAAAGGATGGGTTATGTGTTCGATGGCGATGTATATGTGTTTTTATATATGTTCACCGACATTTCCGCCAATTGATGACTAATTTTTTTATTTGATAGTTTAATGGTCCAAGGTGGTCTCATTTAAATTTTATTAAAATAGTCCTTCCATTTTTTTTTTCATTTATTTTGGGTTTTATAACAAAACAAAATACCTAAATATTTAGATGATATGTTTATTCTAAAAAACAAAAGATTTCGTATTTGGAATTCATTAAAAATCTGAAAGGTGAATTTTCTATTTTCTAAGATGCAAGATTTTCATAAATCGGTCAAATAGTTTCGGAGCCTACAAAATCTCCTTTTCTAAGATTTTCACTATGTTGAATACTCTTATTTTAAATATATATTTAAAAGCGACTTATTCAAAAACGTGCTGTTGAAGTCAGATGCCTATCATTTAAAATAACCTACAGAAAACCTCCTGCCGACTTCAAAAGCATTTTCTTGAATCAGTCGCTTTTGAGATAATAATTATTTATCACTATTTCGACTTTTGAAGTCAGTTACATTTTTTTTAAAAGTATTTACTGCATACTTTATCGCTTATAATTAAGTTATTAAAAAAGATTTTTTTTGTACTTTTTTAATAATTTAAGTTTGTTCTTAGTTATATTAACCGGTCCTATCACTAGACTTTGCATGATATTGAGAATCATTTAGCAAATAGGATTATTTATTCATGTTTACCCCAAAAAATTTAATTGTATTTTATTGTTCCACAGAAATAATGAAGGATATAATTCTGATTAGTCTGGTAGCGATCGTCGCTGTAGCGTGGGCACGACCTGGTTCTACATACACAGACAAATGGGACCATATAAATGTCGATGAAATCCTAGAATCCAAACGACTCCTAAGAGGTTACGTTGACTGCCTACTCGATAAAAGTCGATGCACTCCAGATGGAAAAGAATTGAAAGAAACACTCCCTGATGCTTTAGAACACGAATGTTCGAAATGTACAGAGAAACAGAAGACTGCCTCGGATAAAGTGATTCGACACTTGGTAAATAAACATCCAGATTACTGGAAGGAACTATCGGCCAAATATGATCCTAATAACATCTACCAGGAGAGATACAAGGACAAGCTAGATGAAGTCAAGGGGAAAGAATAAAATTTGTTTTAAGCAAAACCATAATGTAATGCACTGTTTAATTTGATACGAAATTGTGATATTGCAAATTGGACATTAAAAGTCTGCAATCCAGTGAAAAATATCTACGAATTTAGGTACGCATGGTACTTATAAATGACCTTTTTGACGAATAAACTGAAGCCAAAATGTTTTTGTTTTAATTTAATAATATTATCTAAACAAATAATGCAAACTTTCAACAAAAATATTCATTTACAATGTAATCCAACGATATAGGTACTCACTTATATCCACTTTAACATACAAAATACACACACTCACACCCACACACACACACATCCACATACACACACACACACACACACACACACACACACGCACACACACACACACACACGCACACACACACACACACACACACACACACACACACATACACACACACACACACACCTGGTTCTAGCATGGTTAACCTAATAGAATAATTTGTAAATGTTAAAAGTCTTATTTATTTATTTTATCTCTCTTGTTCCTTTGGTATTTTATTTCTTAGACTGCATAAGCCAAAATGTAATACTTAAGAGAGCACTGACTCCTGACATACAGGGCAACCTAATTTGGGAGACAGGGTAAATTGATTTGTTACGCCATGTACTCAATAAAGAATTATTATTATTATTATTAAACGGTTGCGTTAAACGCAAACTAGATTTTGTAGTATAATTTTGCTTTTACTTTTCATAATTTAAGTCTAGTATCTATCAGTGGCATATAAAACAATGCTATGTGAGCAATGTAGAACTTTAAATATCATAATGTTATTAAATCCAACAAAGATTAAAAAGATGTCATTTTGAAAGTTTTTAAAATATACTAAATTTGGTCCTTGTTTTATTAATAAGAAAATAACGTCGTAATATAACTTCTAAAGGATATCAGAAAGCAATGATCCTACAATTCTGCATTTGATTAGTCCTCTTCCTCAATAAACTTGTTGAATGTTTCTCTATATTTTCTGTCTCTATCATACTTTTCGAGGAGTTCCTTCCAACCACCCGGGTGTCTTTCCATCATAGCTCTAATTACTGTTTTGATTAATACTCTCTGTTTCGGTGTGCATTTTCCGCAAGACGTCTCCAGTGCTTCGGGTATTACCTCTGAAAGAAATTTAAGAATAAAAATACATGAACACAAGAATTTGCAATCAGTGCACATTTTTCGCTCTCATTTTTAAACCTACAAACATCTTCGGGTATAAAAGAGATATAACATGTACACGTTGCTATTTATGTCATTTTTAAGTCAAACAAAGTCTAGCTGCATAATCCCTTTAATTTTAGACAAAAATAATATTTTTATTTGTTGTTTTTATTGGACAAACTCGCCGCACGGCCGAACAAACTAAGCTGGTGCATCACTTTCTGTAGTTTGTAGTATATTTATCGATTTCATTGAAACAGGATGATTAATTTGTGCTAAAAATATCAAATCTTTATTCCTTATGACTTAATAATTGGCCTGGTAATTTTTTTTTTACTTTATTGATTTAAAGATATTTTAAAATTTCGAGCCACTAAGAATTATGCGATTATATAAGAGATAACATCATATTATTTTTATTTCATTTGTTTGGACCAGTGTCTCAAAAAAGTTCCATCAGCTTTTTTATGAATTTACAAAAAGCAAAACTGCTACAAACTTTGCGAAAAGTTATTCTACACTATTCAATTAAAAAATAGTATATTTTTAATTCCAAATGGTTCGCAAGCCAGTTTAAGGTGTCGCCATCTCTCAGACAAGTTCAATTCCCCATCGGGTCAAGGTAGAAAATATTTTTTATATTGTTTTGGATTTAGCGGTACCTTCAATGTCTTAGATAATACATAAACAGAGTAATGTTAGTAATTACAGTATAATATAGAGGTATAAGTATAATACATAGGTAATTTCTTAATCTGTATTCAATTAAAATGCATTATACAGAGATTAAAATACTGCTAATTATTGAACGGTTGTTTATTTTGTTATCAGATAATAGTCCTTTTTATACTTACTTTTGAAATCCTTAGCATCTGGAGTGCATGGTCCTTTATCTAGAAAACACTTGGTATAACCTTGTAACAACCTATCATTTTCCAATAAAGGTTCTATATCAAAATCATCATACTTTGCATCGTAAAAATCTGCTGAAGCCATCGCTACTAAAAGGATCATGTATATAATTGAAGATGTCATAATATTATAGGATGAATATATTATGATTTCAATTCTGTATTAAAGCAAAATTGTATTATTTACTCATCACTTTTATTTTGTCTTTTATATTATTATATGTCTTTATTTCTCCAAGTTGTTTGTTTAACTATCAGGGTATAATTGTTATCCTGGTTTATATAAACTCAGTTGTCATCGTTCATAAATGGCTGTCTAAATGTAAAGAAACCCACAATTACCATCACGGAGTCGTGGATGCAATTCTTATGTGTACATTATTGGTTTAACTACATATAATCTGTGCTAGTGAATCAGATAATTTCTTATGCTACATTCGAGCCAGGTTTACTACAATATTGTCTTATTTATCAATAAGCAACAGAACTGGAATTAACTTTTAAATTAGTCCCAATCATTATATATCACAGTAAACATTTTGTCTTTGGTCTACGTAAGTATGATCATATTTCTGATTATCGAACCCAACTTCAGTGGTTACCTATCTCTCGCAGAAGAGACTGTCACTCCTATATTCTATCCTGTTTCACCCACACACACCGCATTACCTCAAAAAGCGCTTCGTCTTTCACTCTACGAATCTTACCCGACATTTGCGGTCTTCCTATAATTTATCTTTAGTTATTTCAGTTAAAGCAATCAAACCATGGAACTCTCTGCCTATAGATATTAGAGGCGCGCAGTTACGGAACTCATTTATGAAATTGATAAAAGAATATTTCCTCAAGCTGGACTATTCCTCTTGAACTTGCACTATATTACTTAATTATAGTATGTTTTGTTTATTTATTTATTTGAGACTATGTATATGCATTTAAAATTTTCTCATGTGCTGTTACTCCTAAAGCACTAACCCGCAGATAATTTTCATAATTGGTATGATTTCCTTTAGCCTAGGGTGGCCTGGTAGAGATTGCTATCTTAGCAATAAGGTCGCCTTTTGTGTTACTGTATCTAATTTACCTTTCCACTGTATTTCATAGTGAATAAACAATATTCAATCAATCAATAAATCAAGATACCATCATGCGTTCTAATGGTTCTAATATTTGGATATGCACCTAATAAAAGCTTTGTTAGACCAAACATAATTTATCTTAATTTCCATATTAGGCTTAAAGCAAAGATACATATAAAGTCCAAACTTCTTGGTGCCTATAGAATTCAGACTACATATAATGCCATCTATACACATAAGTCAACATTATGACAAATGGCATTGCTCAATATATTGTTTTCGCGAAATTCACTAAACCAATGTTAAGGCATATCAGTGGGTGCTATCACGCCATCATCTTTACTTTATCATTCGACACAATGCCGGCTCATGTGTAGAGTAGGCATAATATTTACATGTAGGCATAATAAAACGAATTATAATAAATCATACGACAAGTACCCATACTTGTATAAGATGTTTGATTTTAAGTCAGACTGTTAACTGTACAGTATTACACTGATGTTTTTCAAATAACGCTATACATATTTGACATATTTGCTCTTTGGACTACACTGATATGATATTACATATACTCTTTGCGTAAAATTTTGACAACCTTACAAATAAAGTAGTTATTTTTTTATAAATTAATATTTATTCGTAAAAATATTGTATTTTATAATAAACAGTTATAAAATATGCCTGTTGACTGTCAACGATCAACGTCGGGTGGAAAAGGGAACCTGGGGATGTTTATTGAAAGAGATCGGAAAGTTTGTGCTGCTGGTTTACCCACCGCTCAACCTGATGACAAAGTAGCAGATTCTTTAGAACATTACCTCTTAAAAGACGAAGTTGATGCTCTTTTAAGTGACACTATTCATCCGCCGAAGCCACCGAGACCATTACCACCGCTTCGGAAACCAATACCATTAGATAAGCGATTCGCTGGACCATTCGGTCAAGTCGCTGCTCTTGTTAACCCTCCCAATAAATCTAAATTTCAGATTTTAGTAGACGATTTAAAAGATACACCTTATGCGTCTTACTGGAAAAAACCTCTTGGTATGGTAAAAGACCCTGTGCCTATGTTACCTGATGGATTTGATACTAAAAATACAACTTTTGGAAGAAAAACTCCATATCATGGTCGCCTTTATGATATAGTGATGCCTAAAGTGCCATATCCTGATAAAACACCAGACTACAAAAAACCTGGTGTTCAGAAGAAATACACATATTGTATGCCTCCTTTTAATCCTGATTTGACGTTTGGACATAGGACTTACGTCGATAAGCGGGGAACATATGCCAGATGCTGTGTAACTGATGATAGAGTAAAATTGGGTAAAGCTAATCATACATTGGTTAATACAATACAAGCAAATATGCAAGATATTAAACAACCAAGAGTTGGCAAGGTTTTAGCTCCAAATGATAATATTCTAAATGTTCCGGTAGGTTATCAATTTGGGAAACTTAAGCCTCCTGATAATCTACCTGAATGCCTTACATTTTGTGAATTGAATTCTGGTAGACATTTCTTTATGCAATGTCTCAAGCATTTAAATTCTCTTCGTAAAGTTTTATCTAGACGGTTTTTACCAACATTTTATAGAACATTTTATTTAAATTTAAAATATTACGATCAAGAAAAAACAGGGTGGTTACCTAAACATGTTGTTTACCAATATTGTGGAACCCAACTTATACGTTTTGATCCTCGTTTAATAGAACCATTGTTAGAGATGTGGAATGCATTTGATGGATCTAATATTGAGTATAAAACATTTGTACATGTCCTCAATTACAGAGAACCATCTTCAGAAATGCCTCATATTCCCGACTTACCAAAGGATTGCCTCGATTTTAGAACAACCTATACGGAAATGGTGAAGCCAAATCAACCTCCAAATAACGCTCCAATGGCTGGTTTGCCCTCAGGAAGATATTTTGATTTAGATTATCCTATCACACCAAATCTATGTGTTAAGGCTATAAGGACTTGTCTACCTCAAGAATCTGATATGAAATCGTGTCTTAATCCCAGTATTCTTACTATGCAACAAGTCAATCATCGAGACTTGTATGCTAAGCGTGAACCAAGTGTAGTAAGAAGAGTATTTGAAGCTGCTGGTGAAAAGTTTACCGATGACAGTTTTAATGTTATTTGGGAAGAGGCCAAAAAGTTTCATTCAGAGGGGTGGGTATGTTATGAAACATTCCGAAGAGCATTAGAAGCTGCTCCTAAACAAGATGTGGGGAAAAATCTTTAGATATTTGTCAAGATTAAATTCAATAGTATTAATTAATGAATAATATATATTCAAATTCAGATAAATATTATAGATACCATCAGAAAATCTTAATTAATATTTTTATTGAAATATTTTTTCATAGATGCGATTTTCTCAAGGCTTGAGGTAATCCTGGAATGCTTCTTGATATTTTCCATCTGGATCATAAAAAGCTACTATTTCATTCCACAGTTCCGGACGAGTTCTTTTCACTTCTCTAGCCAGTTGTTTGCCTATTTGCTTTTGTCTATCTGTACACTTAGCACATCTTGTAGCTAAAGCTTCAGGTAGTTTATCTGAAAGTTAGAAAGGCAAATATATTTACAATAAAGGTAGCTGTTTTCACGCGATTTCGCTTATCTAAATTATATTCTATGTCACCTTCGTTTGATGTACTGTAGGTATTGGGTGTAAACAAATAAACAATCAAATCTTTCTTTCCTATTTATAATATGTTTGTAGATAGAAGTAGTTGTTCGCGTAGAAACAGAAAAAGGAACTGAGCGTGAACACTATTTCTCCCATACGTTCGCAGTTTTAGTGTTAAATAATGATTGACCAAAGTTATGCGAATTTGCAAAAGTTATTTTCTTTCGCTTACAGAGAATTGACAAAATAGGGAAACAAAACAAACTGCAATTATGTATTTATTTTAGACTATTCTTAGTCTAAATAATCATGGCTTAAACACAAAAATAGTAAATATGTATAAGGGAATGGGTCTCAGAACGTGAATTTGGTGTTAAACCGCCACTATCTTATACAGTATACTTATACGTAAACTCAAGTAATATTAAGTTCCTATACATTTTACAAAAGTTTTTTATTTAGTTTACAACATCAATAAAAATAATAGAGTCCACGCCCGATAGTAATAGAGTCCAATTTTATAAGTGTTATTGCTCGCTCACAATTTAATATATTGATATGAATATTGGACTTGAAGTAGATAAGCTTAGATTCTATTAAGATGCGATTATTAGATAACATTAGCGGAATTGGCTTACGTATATGGTATACGATAATGTATGTGAATTTAGCTCAATAGGACTTTTCCCGCAGATTGAGGTAGAAGTGCAAAATTACTGGATTTACTGGCTGCCTACTAGTTAATATAAAATGGTCATGTTCATGGTTAATTCTATCTTTATTATATTAGTATATAAATGTTTAATTACTGATTTTTTTAAGTCCGTTTTAATTAAATTGGTATTTCATTATTTCGAATTGTTTATAATGTTATGCATTTTAAAAATCATAAGAAAATAAGATGTGCTGTTCTGTATACTTAGTGTGATATATAATTGATGTTGTCTAAATATCAAAGCAAATCAAATACTCATTATATAGAGGAATTCTTTTAGTAATTACGATTCTAGGTTTTGGTTAAATTATTATGAAACCACTATTGGAAAATCGGTCTACAATTTGCGGAGAAATCGATGAACATATTACATACATTTCTTTTTAGTTAACTTGGTTCTAGAAAAAACATCGTAATCTTCTTATGACATATTCTTATTTATAGTACCTTAACCATATCATAAAATTTTGTCTATGTATCTATGTCATCCATGTTAAAGTCACGTTTATTATGGATGTCATTTCTATGATAAAACCCTATTTTCATATTTTATTGAAAGGTAGTGAGATCAATTATTCACTAACCAAAAATCCATACCGTACTGCAAAAGTAACGTTTTGAATTTTCATTCAATTAGTTTGTATAATAAATAAAAAGTACGATCAATAGTGCATCATGTCTAAAATTTGTGGAACAAGTGGGGGTAAAGGAAATGTAGGTATGTTTATTGAAAGAGATCAAAATGTATACGCAGCGGGCATGCCAAGTTCACAGCCCACGAGTAGTGTATCCAGCTGTCTTAAGCATTATTTAATGGAAGAAGAAGTAAATGCTCTGATAAGCGATTCTATAATGCCTTCAAGCAAACCACAAAAACTGCCACCCTTACGCCATCTACCTCCTAAAGACATGAGAAATGCTGGACCATTTAGTGAAGCTGCAACACTTATCAATCCACCTAACAAAACCAAATTCCAAACTTTGGTTGAAGATTTCAAAGAAACGTCATATACGTCATATTGGAAAAAAGCCGTTGGCAAAGTATCAGATCCTGTTCCAACTTTGCCTGCTGGATTTGATGTGATGACAATGTTAGGAAACAAATTACCGCCTTCTGAACAGTTATATGATGTTGTTATGCCTAAAGTGCCTTTACCTGATAAAACACCTATATCGAAGGAACCTGGACAAAAGACAAATCGTAATTACTGTCAACCAAGTTATAATCCAAACATCACATTCGGAAAAAAAGACAACGTTGATCCGAGGGGTATTTTAGTTAAATGTTGTCTATCATACGAAAATAAATATCAAGGGACTCATTTGAAAAAACCTATAAACACGATTTTATCTCAATTTCAAAATGAGACACAAGCTAAATTAGCTATTTCATTAGAACCAAATAATAATATTACTTGCGTACCAAAAGGTCATGCATTTGGAAAACTTGAACCTCCTAGTAGCCACGTTGTAGAATGCCTTACAACTTGCGAACTAAATCCCGACCGCGAGTTATATTTAAAATGTTTAGCTCATCTAAACACTCTTCGAAAATTTCTTTCTAAAAGATTTGACAGCACATTTTTTAAAAGGCTATATTTAAGTTTGAAGTATGTTGACGATAAGAAAACAGGATGGCTCCCAAAAGATATTATTTACAAATATTGTAATGATAAGTTGATAATTATAAATCCAATATTACTTGAACCACTACTTTCCTTGTGGAATGCATTTGACGGATCTCAAATTGAGTATAAGATCTTTGTTAATATTATCAACTTCACACTGGTTATACCTGAATTACCAAAAATATGGGATATTCCCGAGACATGTTTAGATTTTAGGACAACATATAAGGAAATGGTTAAACCTAGCCAAGAAGTTGATAAACGGGGTAGGGCTGGTTTACCGTCAGGTAGGTATTTTGATAAGGATAATCCAGTAACACCCAATGGGTATTGTAAGGCAGATAGGGCATATTTGCCAGATGAATCTGATGCAAGATCCTGCTTAAATCCGAGTATAATGACTTTACTTGGGGTGAGTCACCGCGATATGTACGCTAAGCGTGATCAAACAACAGTAAAAAGAGTTTTTGAAAGTGCCGGTGAGAAGTTTAATGACAACCAATTTGATGCTATATGGAATAACGCTAAAAAATTTCACTCTCAAGGATGGGTATCTTTTGTAACCTTTCGTCGTAGTATTGAAGAAATTATGCCCAAACACATGAAGATGTAGAGTAGAGAAAGTTTGTTAATTTTAACTTCCGTCTATAATATTCTAAACTCAAGTTTTATGTGTATTAAGTTAATATCGATGTATATTTTATTGAATATATTAGTATAATTTTGTTTCATACCTTTAACTTTTTTAACTTCAGCAGTGCAAGGTCCTTTACTCAGCAAACATTTTGCGTAAGCGTTTAGCAATCTTTCATTTGCAAGTAATTCAGACACATTAAAATCTTCAGCGATAGTATCATATTTTTCTTGTGCTAGTACCACAGCTACCATACAAAACGTTAAAACAATAATAAACTTCATGATCGAAACAGATGTTTGTTGGCTGATCTTAAAGACAGATGAATTGTGATTGATCTTATATTTTCCTATCGCAATATTTATATGAAATCAACCTTCCAATTCTTAGAATGACACATGTTTATCACTGCACATTACTAGTTGAGATAATTGTTATATTATTTATCATTCATATTCATTGGTTCGTTTAATTGAGTACAATATTAACCGCGTATGACATTAATGACTCGATGGTGCATTAAAGGTTATTGATAGCTTCAATGAGTACAATGAATATTGTTTTACATTTTTTTTTATTGAAGTTATATTAAAATTATAGTACAATCTAATATTAAGTTATAAATGCAATGTGGTGCTGTCGTCATTATTTGACAGGAAGAAAGTTTCATTTTAGTATTACTTGTGCAAAGTACGAATTTTTAATTTTAATATACAGTTATGCACCAATAGAACTGGTTGCCTTCCTATTATTATTAAAGTAAATATTATGGAGTTTAACTCCTCTTTTGGGTTTGGTCATCATGCATTTTTGTTAAGGCTTTTAAGTAGAAATTCAATATGCATTTCGTCATTTTAGATGCTTTTTTATTTTTTCAAATACTCCATGCAAACTTCGTGGTATTTAATACACAGAGACTTTCTTCCTGACCTGTTACATTTAAAAAAAATAGTCGTCCTCATTTCTTCAAATAAATTTTAGACACCAGTGACTAAGAAACTGTAGAGGCCTTCTCTATTGACTCTTTGTGGGTCATATTTGTCTAGTAACTCGAGAAAGCGTGGTTCACTTTTTACTCTGATGCCGAGTAGTAATTTGCGAACAACCAATTTCTGCTTAGGCGAACATCTAGAGCACGCAGTCGTCAATGTTTCTGGTAGCACACCTGTAATAAAGAAGTGGATAACATTATTTTCCACAAGATTCTACATCTACACAATTAAAGAAATTTTTGAATAATATTAGATGCATGTTATTTGGACAAATATACACAGTTTAAATTGTTCCAGACATAATCCTTCAGAACTGATCTGCTATATATTTGGCCAATATTTTATAATGGAGTCATCTTCCGGAACTGTAACTTTTATGCTGGAATTATCTTTTTCGATAATTGCATTCGTTCAAAATCATGTGCGCGTTCAGCAATAATCATCACACAGATCTTTAGTTATGTCACTTAAAGCCTCATTTATTGTACTTAAAAGTACAAAATAATCACACTCAGTAGACTTTGTGAAAAGTGGATTGTCTATATAATCCTATTTGAAATCAAACGCAGAATATGATCTGTTTTAGTAACCAGCAGTGATACTCTATAAAAGTTCAAAATGTAATAAAGATTTTGATTTAAATTGAACAACTAATGCTGCGTTAGCTGTGTCTGATACAACGTCCAACATTGTACTTTTTACAGAAGAGCTAAGTTTATGTGCTCCTGTGTGTATATAGGAGCCTCAGAACTTAATCAGAAGAAGAAGACTTACGTTTAAAGTTTTTCCCGTCCTTGGTACAGGGTCCCTTGTCCATAACGCATTTGTAGTATGCAAGGAGGATTCTCTCGTTCTGTATAATGGAGTCTGCGTTGAAGTTGTCATACCGGTTGGAGTGCTGGGCTGAACAGTATACCACCACCGCCAGCGCCAGTACACACAGAAGCCAACTCCTCATTGTTTCTAAGCTCTGAAAATTTTTAATATTTTATCATCATCATCTGCCAAGTAATTTCTTAGTGGAGCACAGGCCTTCCTAATGGATTGAATCAAATAATGAGAACAAGCGATAACCCATCACACGAGCTCACTGACGATTAGGCGTTAACGATAGCAGATGCAATCAAGACCAACGGCTAAGCATTCCTTCTGAAGCACGGAGGTACGTGACATAATAAACTGGTCTCCCATCCAAAGACTGGCCCTAGCAAAAGTTGCTTAATCTCATAATGGTTATTTAATCTACACAAAACGATCACCTTAAGCCGTGTTCCATCCTCACAATGTACAAGTATAGTTATTGTTCATTATCTATACTATGTCATCTAATAAGGCCCACTCTTTTGACCGCTAAAAGTGCTAAAACCAACTGATACGGTTTCTAATTACAATATTTTGTTCTCATGGATTTGACAGTGTATAACTATTATTGAGATATATGCTAGTTGTTTTTTAGCAATCTAGCGGTTGAAAATTGTCCTTATGAGGCGATAGTACCATATTAAAAAGAGATAAAATTTGAAACTTTGTGTGTTTGTTGGGAATATTGATCCAATCATGAAAATTCTTTCACCTATGAAGCTATGATGTAGCTACGCGAGCGACGTCACGGGAAAACAGCTAGTCAGTGTATTAACTAAATATTAATCTTTTATAAAGCACAGGAAACTTCTGATCGGGGTAGGAAAAAAAGTTAAATTTACATTGAGCAAAGGAACCGAAACATTGGTAGTGTTAAAAATATTGCAAAACTCTAGAACAGCTACATTATTTTCTTAAAAAAGAGCATCAAACTCGTCGTAGAGCGCAACGCTATCTTAATGAAATTTAGCTTTATTGAAACTAAACTTTTATCATAAAGTAAGTTTTATATTGAAGTAGAGTAGGTTTTATTAAAATTTATTGAAACTCTATGCTGAAACTCTGCGCCGCGTTCAACGACCAGTTCGAGCTGGACTAAATTTTACTCTAATATTCGTTAAAGACCTAGGAAGATTCTTATGAAAACAAAAATTTCATATATTGAAAGGAAACCGTTGAAAACAATATTTTTCTAATCCTATAAAATGCGGTTAGCAGCCAAATAAAACTGTCAAATATTTGAAGGACATTTATTTTCTAGATTGCTATCATGTCCTTTACATTTCAGAGACTTCAGTTATTCTGTTATTATGGCGCTTGCAACAGCACCGAATAATCAGGACTTGATAAATATAAGTTGAAGCGATCCTTTAAAAAAAATCATTAGTTTATAAATGACCTCGAATGGTTAACACAACATATTGTCAAATATATCAATCAAAAGGGTATATGCGTTTGATTCAAAAAAGGCTTAAATATATTTTATTATGATCATTATTACTTTAGAATATAGTTCACCTTAATATTTTTCTATATTAGTTTGTTTTCGTCTTGAAAATAATTATTAAAAAAGTGCACAAAAAGACGCGGTAATTTCAAAATATTCAAACGCCATGCTACACGTGTAGGGATGTCGTTGTTACAGAATCTTAACATCGATGCAATAACATCAAAGTATTAAGTCGCAAAATAAACAACAGCTTACAATTTAAATGATGTTTTAGGCTTTTATTTTTATTTCACTAATTTGGTAAACTGTAAGTATGAGTTATTAAAAAGTCTATTACACTTTAAAAATCGATTAGTTGCTAATCGATTTGGGTTATTGAATAATAATCAATCACTCAAAATCCACATTGATTTAAAATGTCATATCTCTAGTTATGTACTTTAACGTCACGGCAAGCGCGCCAAAAATTCCGTTGCTTAACTGCTTGTAGCTATTCACTTATTTTCATCAGTTATTAATGTTACAAAATGTTAGTTTTTCGGTGTCAGGTATTTTTACAGTTATATATCGATGTAAATTATCAATTAAAAACATTTTCCAAAAATGCAAAATCTGTAAATGCAAAACCTATCGCACTTCCTATCATTTCTTATAAATAAGTAAGTATGTAAAGTTCGAAGGCTATTAGATTAAACTACGTAAGCAGTAGTACTTAGTAGCTCCTTCACTGTATAATTTAATCGGTTGGCTGTTGGGATTTCCTACTAATGATAATGGTATTATGTAGTATTTAATAAATACTTCGAATTGACGTTTAAACGATATACAATTAATTTAATAAGACGATTAACCTATTCTTGCAGACTTTTGTGGTTTCCGAAGAGGAAATCCTTAGATTTCCTTTATGTCCTTTATATAATTACAGACTCACATTAAAATATCGTATATAAAACATAAAATTGTAAGAATTGTCAGTTTGTTATCTATGTTGTTAGATTATAAACTGTCGTCGGTTAAAGTGAGATTAGAAATAATTCTAGAAAAATTATAAACTTACAATGCTATATTCGTTTACAATAGTAAATTGTCATTATAAACTGACGATACTTCTAATATATTGTATTACATACTTATGTTTTTGTTCAATTTTCAATTATAATCTATGGCAACCCAATTTATAAAACTTATTTAACCAAAGAGTAACTAAATAATAGAAAACACTTTGATTTTACATAATGACTTATATGTTCTTGCATTTCGATAAAACTTTTACCTTTTCACAAAAATAAATATTCAAAGACAAAATCAAATTGAGTCGATTTCTTCATTTGATTTTAAGCCTTATTAGCAGTTTAGTCACGTTAAGTTGTAATAAAGTGCTTTTATATAGAGCTTCCCGAGGTATGAACTAATTGAACTTTTTCCCGTAGGTATGAACTAGATGAAACAACTTTTAAATCGCTCAAGTAGCGACGAATAGGTAAGGTCCTATTCGATGCAAATAACCAAACAAACCAACATACAATCAAATAATACTTTGTATAACATTAGTTTTAGGTTAACTTTATAAACAGAACGACTACAATATAGTATAAACCGTAAAAAAAAATAATATCAAAATTTGATGTTTTTAGAAACATGATATGCAGGTGTGTTTACTTAAAAAAAAAAACAAAATCCAAACACTAAAACTTAAATGTAATGTAACTTAAAGCTTTTTCAATTAATTTTACTAAACTTTGTTTTAAATGCGCAATTTGAGCTAGAACAAAAGAACAAATGCGGAATTTGTTGCTTACTTTCTAAATTGATTTAAAAAAGAAACACTCACGTAAAGAAAGCAGTCCTGTATTGACGGCCGGCAGCGGCGTTGTGGCCCTGGTGCAGCCGAACCAGTCGGTCGAGGTTACAGTAACGGGCCGCATACAAAACGCAAAAGAAAGTACTGTTTACGTACACTTTCTGTGTATGGTAAATTTTTGGAACGTTCGTTTATGACTTTCAAATATCGAGTAGAATAAAGACTCTTTTCTTTGAAGTTAAGGATTAGAATAAAAACTCTTTCTCTAAAGTCAATATTAAAATTTTCAAAGATCGAGTGGAATAAAAACTATTTTCTTTGATCAATTTAAAAAAATTGCTAATATTAAAACTCATTTGAATATTAATTCTTTTTTTTGGGTATGAAAAAAAATGAACTCAAGAAGCTACTTAATTTTATTTTGGTTGTTAATCGAGTCCGTGATTATGTATAATTTCAATAATCGATTTGAGGTCTTAATGCGATAATAGTAAAGTTCAAGTGACTGTGAACACTTTGACAACCCAGTTTTTTTAAGTACCTAATCCAACTTTGTCATTTCATCTGTTAAAATTTCTATCCAATCATATCTTTACTTTATAGAGTATTACTAGTATAGATAATATTGATAATTAGTTAAAACTTTCGCGTTACATTATATTAGATTGTACCTATAAGACGTCGGGAAATATAGGTGGGTGAAAAACCTAACCATCGAAATCTATCGCGTTATACAATCTAATTTTTTATTTTGTTTTTAGCATATCTTGTTATAGCGGCAACAGAAAGACATCATCTGTGAAAATTTCAACTATCTTAGCCACGGTCATAAGATACAGCCTGCTGACAGACAGACGTACAACGGAGAATTATTACTAAGCGTTTAGGTACGAAAACCGATAAAATCTGCATTTTGCACTTTTTCTAGATTTTAACTTTATCTGAGCTTCATTTCATACTCTTCCGTATTAAAAAAGGAAAAAAAAATTACTTCACAAATATATTCTTGTTATGATGGAAATTTAGAACATCGAACGTTTTAATATTACGGTAATGATACTGGTCCTGATCAGGAAGAATGTTAGATGAAGAAACTCGTTTAATGAAGTCAATGAACCTATTAAATGATCCGTCGTTCTTTTATAAAGACGATCGTCGTGATATTGGTGTATTGAGAAGCAATGCATTCAGATTGTTTGTTGAATTGATGGTGTCCGCATATCAATAATATTATATGTGCATAATATTTTTACCCCTACTAATAAAATAATTATAACCGTTGTTACGTTACACATAGCTCTGTTCATGTCATTCTAACATGACTTTCAGTTCTAGTGAAAAAGACAACACTGTACACACAATCACAGAAATATACTCGTATATATATTTTTTTTTAATTTCTGTGTACGCAATGCTTACACAATGGTTACTAGTAAGGGAAAATTATTTTAATATTTACTTTATGAATTACCTATCTCGTTTCATTTGTTAAAATACAATTTTGTGTGAATAAATTAGTTCTTTATCAATAACATTTTCAATTATCACAAGCATCGTAAGATATTAAGACACTGTTAGTAAATAGTTCATCATAACGTTAAAATAACTAGCCAAGTGTGAGCTACACTCGTGCACGATGGGTTCCGTACTGTACTTTTTTTTCGTTTATTTTGGTATCAAACAGTCATTTATGTAACAAAGTGTGTATGATTAAATGTGCTTTAAATTACAGACCAATAGTACCTAAAAGTTAACATTTTTTGAATTAAATAAACATGAAAATCTACATGATAAGACACGCATACATAAAAACAAAAACATTTGGCAAAATAATGATAATATAATTATACAAATGTAAGTATATAATTATATACTTACATTGCTTTTAAGCAAATCAACTAATTACATAGTATATCTTTTAACTTTGTCTTCAATACATTAATTGACAAATTAAAGAGATCCAGCTCGGAGAATTCTTTATTATAATATTGTAAAAAATCACGTTTGTAATTTTCTATGGAGTTTATTTTAAAAATTCGAATAAATTATAAATTCGAATTTTATTTTAAAAATTATAAATTCGAATTAAGTACAATTGGTCGACTATTACTCGTAAACTTGTAAAGCCAATTTAAGCGTGATAGTTTTTCTTTTAACTATGTTATGTATAGGCACTGCTGCCTTAACGTTTAAATTTTTAATAACGACCGTTTTGTTTTTAGACTGTGGGAACATTTGCCTCTAATGAAAATTGGCTCTTTTAAAAACGGCCTTTCCATACCTCCAATGCTTTTGAAAGACCTATCCCATACTATGCCCCGCACTATGGGAAGGACGAACAAAAATATCATCCCCCACTTTACATGTACGCTAAAAATCTTTTGTTTTTTTTTTAAATTTTCGTTTAACACTTTGGCGGCGTGATTAACGTGTAGACTTATGCCAAATTACAACTATATAGTACCAACAGTTTTTAGCTAAACCGAGGACGGGCGGACTGTCAGACGAACATGGCGGAACTATAAGGGTTCCTTGTTTACTACGGAACCTAAAAATCACTTAAAATTAGTTAACTTGGTGTCAAAATTTAAAACACTGAAAATGAAAGAAAAAGGTTTTTTTTACGTTGTGGCTAAACAAAACTCTTATTGCAATCTGAGGACCTTTTAGATTACAAATGTTCCACAGAATGATTCTCTGACTATAATGAAATTTTATTTAGCTTAACCATAATGTAAATAAAATACTAATACAATATGCATGTTCTTATTATCTAATTCAATTTCGGGAATAAATGAAGACTTACCTCATTATTATTTAAAGGAATGAAAAAATAACGTTTATGATACAATTTTACTAAAAATCACGTTTATTTCTGAATAATAATAATTATTAATATAAAAAAGCCTTTATTATTAACTACCGTTGAAACATTACTTATATCATTATTACGGTGACTATAAATAACATTGTTAAATTCATATAGGTCAAAAGTACCAACCACTTCTTCTAAATTCTCCATATTTGCACTCGCAATTTGTTACGGTCGTGTATATTCCAAAAGCCAGTAGCTTTTAAAACACATTATCTTATTACGAAATTCAATGAATTTCAGTATATATTAACTAACAAATTCCATGCCAGTTTGTAACATATCGGTGATCTTGTTGACGACCATGCTGATGACTTGGGACTCTTCCATTGACCGCTTTAATGCTTGCACCGTTTCTTCATACTTAATTTTTTCTCTCCGAGTACAATTCGAACAAGACGTGACCACCATTTCTATTATGTCATCTGAAAAGTAAAAAGCACATGCAAGGATTGTAGTTATCATTGGAAACAATAATCGACTCTAAAATTTAATTTATTTATTGTATCAGGAGCTATTGCCTGAAGTATATATTATATTACAATTGCTCGAAAACTACGATGTTCTCCGTTCAAAGTAATGGTGCACCACAAGGGAGTTTGGTGCCACATTAGTCACATTTTGACTAGCCATTGGGCAGGTCTGTGCGGCTGTAGAGTCCTACATACGTACCTTCATCTCGCCCGTGTGAGACAGTGCGTTATGCAATCGTTGTACAAAAAAAAAAGTATCTAGAGCACTGTAGAGAAAGAGATAAGTCCCCATATATATAAATCACTGATTGACCCTGTTTTTAACAGACTTCATATCGCAAAGGATTAGGTTATATATTGTTATGTTCAACGACGATGTATTTTTTTGTGTATGTTTCCGATATTTTCGTCAATTGTTGACCGATGGGCAAAATTCTTTTTTTTATTCGACAGTTTAATGTACCGAAGTGGTCCCATTTAAATTTTAACAAAATCGGTAGTTTTTCTTTTATAACATAAAAAAATACGCTTTTCATCAGATATCACCTTAATATTTAGACATGTTTATTTTAGTAATAAAAAAAGGATTGCATATTTTGCATTCATTCAAAATTTGAAAGGAAAATTTTCTATGTTTAACGAGTATGTATATATTTTTATAAAAGATAACTGTTTTCTATTAAACTAGCTGTATGTATCCCGGTGACTTCACCTGCGTTAACTATTGCCCCCATGGCTGAAACACTTTTATAAATCGGTACAATAGTTGCGAAGCCTTTCCAATGCATACAAACAAGCAATCAAGTCTTTCCTATTTATAATGTGAGTATGTATGTATAGTATAGTATAGAGTATGTATAGTACGTAGAGTATGTATAGTATGTATAAATGATTGGTAAAAATTATGTCGAGCAAATATATAAAAACTCCTTTTCTAAAATTTCGACTATGTTGAATATTTTTATTTATATTTAATATTTTAAGTTTTACCCTATTATATTAAAAATATAAATATTACTAAAAAGCATAAAATAAAAACTAAAAAAAAAGAATATATAACCGGGTAATTCAAGAAAATGCTTTTGTAGTCGGGCGCCTATCATTTTGTTAATAACCAACAGAACACTTCCACCTGACTTGAATAACATTTTCTTAAATAAGTCGCTTTTGGAAATTATTTATCGTATTTTTAAAGTTTGAAGTCTGTTGTATTTTTTTTTATATTTGTGTATAAATTACGAAATTTTAATTGAACATAAAAGAAGACAGAAAATAGTTATCGATCAAAATAATCATCTTAGTCTTATATATCTAACAATATTTTAGCGCGCCTGTGAAAAAAATCGAGTTCAATTCGCTTCTATGCTTAAAAAGAAAGAAATTAAGTAGGCATTTTTTCGTAATTAATTTTTTTGCTTGCAATTGTCTTAACAGTTTTATTTCATCACGTTATACTATATTGTTATTAAGTCTCCATGACCATTAATTCACAAAATCATTTCACCTATGAACATCAATCATAGTTCTGTCTTCCTAATGCTTTGGTACTTTGTACAGTGTCGAACGTTTCATTAAACACAGTATAAGAGGCGCAATCAATTATAACCTACTTGAAAGGGTAATAAAGGATTTTTTTAATAATACTCGTAGGTTTGATCAAGATTAAACCTCTAATGCTGCTACAAAACATAATTTTATTTTTAACAGAGAACCACTGTTGGTCAATGGATTGCACTTGTCAACTGTGATTGAAAAATATACAACTTGAAT